ATTTTACTAATCTAGTCATTACATATAAGAATGAAACTATGTCAGGAATATACAATCTTGACGAAGAAGTTGAAGTGATTGTGTAAATTTAACATGTAAAAATTGTGGTTACAATGTAAATTAATTATTTTGAAATCAACAATAAATTAATATATATTTATTTTCAAATATTTTAAAATTTTATTTGTTATCATTTTAATTATTATACTTTTATTGTAAAAAAAATAATTTACATAAAAGGTTTAAAACATATTATTTTGTCATATAAATTAAAAAAATTAAACAACAATAATGTTAAGAAATCGATAATTTATCGATGTTAATATTGTTTATTCAACCTTTTAAAGCTAGATTTGATAAACTCAATACCAAATCTTCAATATTCAATCTTTTTGATTGTTCATGTTCCCAACATCTTTGAATAATTTCATAAGAGTTATCACTCATATCATCCTTTTTATCAAGACGTTTTCCTTCGATTACAAATTCTGCAATTGTCCACGGAAATTTGAATTGTGTTTTTGGATATGCCTGACACCACCCAAAACACTCAAACATAGTAATACCAAATGAGAACACATCAGCAGATTTCTTGTACTTTTCCTTCTTAAGTATTTCTGGTGCCATATACACTGGTGTACCAATACCTTTAGTGAATGTCATGTTAGTCATCAACATGTTGATATTCTAGCACTTCCAAAATCAGTCAATTTAGCATTCACTTTTTCGTTTATATCAAGTGAAATAACAAGAATATTGTCTGGCTTGATATCTCTGTGTAAAATGCCATTTTCGTGTAAATATTCAATTCCCTTTGAAGCATCTAAGATGAATTTTATTCGTAAATGCATTTCAACTTCATTGGATTTTTTCTTATTAATCAAGTCCTGAAAACTTCCATATTGTGCAAATTCGGTGACCATACAAATCTTGTTTGGTATTAAAACGGCTCCAAAGAAGTGTACGATATACTCATTCCAAAATTTGTCTAACATGTCGACTTCATTTCTAAATTCAGAAATGGTTTCTTCTTTATTATCACTTTGTTTCATTTTTTTAATAGCAACAACATTTCCTCTATAATTTCCTTTGTACACAATACCAAAAGATCCTTCGCCTATTTGCTTCGTTTCTTCGAGTTCTCTATAATTTAATTTAGTTGATTGTTCTGTGTCGACTTCGATTTGTAATTTGTTACTCAAAACAGTTTTTGTCACAATGTCAAGAGCAATCACCAAAATATTCTCTTTAATTTGACACGAACATAACGGCTTTATAAATAACTCAAATTCACAGGCTTTGCCTTGTTTCAGTGTCACGATAGAAGGTAATGTACCTATTTGGTAACAATCGCACCCTTCAATTACACTAAATTGAACCTTCAAACTGTGTTTTGAAGTGTTTCCAATACATATCAAGTCACGAGTCTCGGTGTCTACTTTAATAACTTCATCACTATCAATATCAAAGCGTAAAACATTTTTGTTAGAACACAAAACGTCATTCATTTTCTCCATCGTCAAATTAGAACTTTTTATATCGAAAACACAGACATTCTGCATTTGTTGTTTGTGACTATATCGCTGAAGTATATAAAATAGAATAACTATTAATAAAGTTATTGTTAATATCAATAGTACTACAACTGTGATTGGAATACCTATGACAACACCATAATTAACAGAATCTGTGCAACTGTCACCAGAATATGTCGGTTCTCGTCGACCTTCACATTTAACACACTTTGATTTTTGCGCTGAAACACAATGTTCTACTTTTGTAAAATGTATACATTTAAAATTAACAAGAACATATTCTTTCTCATCACATTTGGTGCACACACTTTCAGTATCACATGATATACAATTTGAAGAACATTCATAACACTTGTAATTCGATAAGTAATGACCAGACATACACCTCTCACAGCCAGAGGACGATGAAAATTCACAATTTGAAAGTGTTGTATTTGGTTGACACAATTTGCATTCACTTGGGATGTTGAAATAGCCGTCTTTGCAAGCAAGACATTCATTACTGTTCACACAAAGTGCACACGACTCATCACATGGTGTACAGCTGATACCCTCTCGATAATACCCGCTGTTACAGATTGCACATCCACCTCCACCGGGTAGGGCAATGTCACAACTCTCTTGTAACGCACCAAGTGACTTGCATGACATGTCAGCACTCAAATAAAATCCCGATCTACATGTTGTGCAATAAGTTGTGTTGTAACAAAATAGACAGTCATTTTCACATTGAAGGCATTCGTTGTTGATGTTGTAATAACCATCAGCGCAGTGTTGGCATCCTTTGTTATTTCGAATTAAACAAGTTGTTTCTGTTGCAGTTTTACTACTTGTTTTAAGTTTGTCGTCTTCATCAAATGATTCAGCACAAATCCCACTTTTCATTTTGAAGGCATCAAGACACTCAACACATTTATTGTTCTTTGCATTATATCTCTTGCAATTTGTTACTGTTGTGGATTCTATTGGGATACAGTAGTCATACTTGTTCTCTACATTCTTTGAGTCTGTCTGGTAATACCCCTCATTGCAAACAACACACCCACTTGAGCTAAATGTTTTGCATGTTGATATTTCACTCTTTGATATACACCAAGTGTCGGTGTATCTTACAAAGCCATCCAAACACTTTAGACAACTATTACTGTCACAAAGACCACAATTGTTTGTTTGACATTGTAAGCACCTTCCTTGTGATGCGTAATTAAAATCAGAAGCACATTTGGTGCAAAATCCATATTTTGCTGTTTGGCAATTTTCATCTGTAACACATTGGTTTGAAGTTGTGTCAAACACATAATCAGTATAACACTTTAATGGCATAACTTTAGTTCTTGATAATTGGCAAACCGAAACAGAAACACCACAATTGACACATTCGTTAGATATGTCGAGATAATCACCAACTCCACATTTGTAAATAATACCATTTCTAATTTCCATATTTTGTTGTGAAATTTGACATTCATTTCCATTCAAAGTGAAATTGTCGTTGCAATTAATACAAATAAAATTATTCTTTTTAACTTTCTGATATTTGCAATTTACCATTTTGTCTTGACAATCGGAGTTGACTGAGATCTGATCATAACAGTCACATGAAAACATTGTGATGTTAGACGGACTGTGACATCGTGTTGTTTGTTGGCAAATTCCATTCGCCAAAAAGTAGTTGCTGTTACGTAGAAGACATTTTGACTTGTCGACTTGAATTTGGCAGTTCACATCATTACTTAGGCAGCTCTTTGAATTTAGATTGTAATACTTCCCACTTGGACACAACTGACACTTCCCGCCATTCAATACATAGTTGATCATACAAGAAGTACAATTGGAAACAGCAACAGTAAGGGTGGAACACACATTGCAGTTCTCAGTTGCAAAATAACAACTTTCACATGCCGTCTCAGTCTTTTTGTAAGTGCCAATTTCACAATTTGAACAAAACCCACTTAAAGCTACATACTGTGGATCTTTGCACGCCAGGCACTTCTTAACTGTTTGGCTGCAACTCGTTCAATTTGTGTTTATTGTGCTACATTGAACGCATACACCGATTTCATCTGGGTAATATCCCGTGTTACACATCACACATTTTCTGTCAAATGCAGACGAGCATTTAGCGCAGTGTGCATCAAATATTGAACATGATTCACAGACACGTGATCTGGTTGATTGGAAGACGTAGTTATCTTGACATGTTGTGCATATCCCATTTGTAGCATCACAACTCCCTCCACATGTTGTTGAACATGATACACAAATGTGTGAAATGTCGTCTGGATACATGTTTGGTGTTGAACACTTCGCGCACTTCCGCTCACCAGTCACACAACTCTCACAATTAACATCAAATGCCTGACATAAAATACAAGTTGTTGAAGGTGGATTGGTTGGCACCATCCCACTTCAACATGTTGTGCAAAATCCATTGCTACCATTGCAGGCACCGCCACATGTCGAGTCACAATCTATACACTTTTTGTTTGATAAAAATTTACCATTTGTGCATTCTATGCAACTTTGTGCGAAATTTGTTGCACAAGTGACACAGTCTTTGTTCCATGCAGAGCACATTATGCAGTTTGTAGAAAATGGCGAAGTCACAACATAGTTATCAATGCATTTTGTGCACATTTTATTTGCTGTATTACACTCATTTTGTTGACACGTTGCTGAACATTCTACACACATACCACTTGAAGGGTAATACCCCGTTAAACACATTAGACACGATCTGACACCATTGTCAGCACAAGTGGCACAACGGGAATCAAAGTTTTTGCACAATTCGCACATTGTTGATGGTGGATTTGTAAATACCAAACCACTCTCACACGAAGTGCAATGCCCATCTGTTTGATTACAACTTCCACCGCACGTAGTTGAACACGAAATCCACTTCCCGGTATCCAGTGACGGGTACATGTTTGTCGTTTTGCAAGTTGTGCATTTCTTCTCGTTTCCACCTGGACAAGTCTCACAGTTTGAATCGAAGTCTGCGCAACTTTGGCACTTTGTGTTTTGTGTGTCATACAACACATAATTTGATGCGCACGAGGTGCAATACCCATTTGCATCACACGAAGAACAAGACGAATCACATATATCACAGTTTGCCCCACTAATGTGAACAAAATATGGAGATGCACAACTCAAACATTTTCTCTCTGTTGATGAACACGTGTTGCAGTTTGGGTCTATTGAATTGCAAGAAGAACAGAATTTTGAAGGTTGTGTTATCACGGGAGTGTATTGTGATGAACACGTCTCACAGTATCCCGTCTGTGTGTTGCATCCATTCAAACACGTTAAGTCACAACTTACACATGTAAATGGAGATGTTGTAGATGGGTACATCCCACTTGTGCATTTGGTGCACTTTCTTGAGATGGTTGAACACTCTACACAATTTGAGTCAAAAGAAGAACATGTCTGACACGAAACACTAGTTTCAGATATTACCGTATACTGATTGCTTGCACAAATGCCGCATGCACCCGTTTGTGTGTTGCACCCTGTAGATGCACATGTCGTATCGCAAGAAATACAATTGGAATTGGTACTTGGTGGGTAGTATCCATTTGTACATATCCGGCACTCTCTATTTGGAGTCAGACATTCGACACACTTTGAATCATAAATAGAACACACTTCACATTGTGTTGATTTAGGATCTGTGTATACTAACTCACTTGAACAACTTGAACAATATCCCGTCGAATCAGAACACGAACTACCACAAGTTGTGTCACAAAGTTGGCAAAATGTGCTGTTTAATAAGTAATAATTCGATTCACATTTTGTACACGACGATCCGCTGTATGCTGTACAATTTGAAATGATAATGGGATTTTTTTCGCAATACGTCGAATTTTTAAAAGTGTATCCACTTTTACAGGTGGTACAAACACTTGAACTATAACACTTCTCACAATTTGGAACAGTACACCCGTTGTAATAACACGAGTAATCAACTAATTGATAAGGTGATGCACAAGTAGCACACGATACAGTAAAAGAAGTGGAACATGTATTTGAACTGCAGTTGATAGCACAACATTTTCCTGTTGATTCATTATACTTCCAATTTTCATTACACCATTTATTGTATCCCATTTGAATATATTCTGAAAATGTTAAATTTGTGCATATATATTCTTTCAAAGCATTAATCATTCCATAAACCGAAGTGTAACCTTGTTCACACAAAGCACAACCTATATAATCTGTCATACATTCCAAACAGTTATCAACAGCCAACCCATTGCAACTCATTGAGTTTTTTCTTTGATGATCAATGTTTGTTGTTTTACTGTTTTTATATTTAATAACTTTGGATATGTTAAATGCTGCATTGTTGTATTTGTTGTCAATATATTTCAAATTATAATTTGTATCGTTTAAAAAAATAGTCATCTCTTTTCTTTGTTTGACAAGGTTTATTTCTACGTATTTTAGTAAAGTGCAAATAATGTACTTAATATTAGAATTTTTTATATGTAGTGTTAAGTTTTGATAAAAGAAGTCTGTGGCCACAATCAGGCTTTTCCATATTTTGCCGAATTTTTGTTTTAAAAAAACAGGGAGCTAGTGTTAACTCTCTCCCATAAAAACACATTTTTTTCTTCAAAAGAGGTTCCAACCAAAAAATTTGAGAAATATTTGAAAATTTCACCAATTTTTTGATTAAAAGCAAAGTTAATATATGTTTTAGTTTAAAATTATTTTTTATATCTTTTTATCAAATATTGTTTATTTTTATGTTACCATTAAACAACAATAACAAAAATAAATACTAAAATAATGACAATTTCCTTTTAAATAATCATCAAATATATAGTAAATATATTATATATCGAATTAAATATTATGGTTTATAATCACATTCGATATTAAAATATTTTAGTGTAAACAATAATAGTATAATTGTTAATATTATTAATTATAATTTATTAGTTTTATGATTTTATTAATATTTTCAGAACAGAAAAACTTCGAAAACGATAAAAAGACTGTTTTCCAAAATAAAATAATCATTTTGATTTACAATATATAGTAAATTAACTAAAATAAAAAAACAACAAAAAACAGAAACATTTTGTTTATTTTTAAAAATACATTGATGAAACTAAACAAAATGTATTAATTTAATTACATAAATTTAATGATTAAAATTGATACAAATTTATAACAAGATTTTTTCGTTAATAAAATTGATCTTCAAAATATTATTATTTAAAAAAGTGACATCAATATATTTATCAGTTTATCAACATCTATTATAATGAAACGTGTATTACGAAATAATATTTTTATACATAATTTAAGTTGATATACACACCAATTTAATTAAATCGATATCGTTTTATATTTTTCTTTTCAAATTCGAGTCCATTTTTGGATTGTAAACAAAGAATTGTTTGATTATCATAATTCAAACACTTGAGTATAATTTGTCTTATGATTTATAATATTCGACTTGTCGAGTCGATAAAATCAGATAAATCGGGCTAAATTAGACAATTGATAAAACATTATAAATTCGAACTAATAAAAACCAATTTTTTCATGAATTTAGTGTATTTTTAAAATAACGGTTTAAAATAAAAAACAACAATAAAAAATAATGTTTTACTTACCCGATTATGAGCATAAAATAAGACACAATATTCACTTGCAACAAAAGAATTTTTGTAGAAAAATCTGTACAAAATGTATATTTTTAAAATACTAGAAAAAAAAGATCTTTGAAACAATTTTAAATAGTTTTTTTATGAAAACAATAAGATATAAATAATCAATAACCGACGCAAAATAAAACAGTAATCAACAACTCTGTGTTTATTTTATAAATTTTTAAAACAAACAATATCATTTTGCGTGCAAACAAAGGGGGTTTAATGTTGATTTTGGATTTGATTTTCATTGTTTTGAAAAACGATATATCAAAAAGCCAAATGGCAATTAAAATTGAACAGTAAAATACGTATGAATTATAAATATATGACTTTTAAATAACACATAATAATTAATATATATTTAATATGGTGAAACAAAAGAATAAATTGCTTTAACAATTACAAAAAGATTAATAATAAGCAAAAGAAAATGGAAATAAAATATTTAAACTATCCATATTTACTATATATTTTGATTAATTTAATTGGATTTTGATTGTTTTAATATTTGATGAAGCAAATTGATATTTAGTAAATGTAAAACAACTTTATAAATTTATTAATATATTATTCGAATTGTTTTTGTGTTTTTTTACAATAATTTCTGGTTTTTAGGTTTGTGGAATAATCCAATTGCAACAAACAAAACAAAACATTTTAGGGTTTAATTTAAATAAACCTTAACTTATTTATTATAATTAAAAGTAAAATAATCTATATTGAATATTAAATTTAGTTAAAAATAATTATTATTCTACACAAATAATAAACATGCTTTCTCAGTTTAAAAACGCAGAATTATAATAAAAAAATTTAAATAAAGGTAAACAACAATAATATAACAACTTTAATATACATCATCATTATTATTTTAAATAATATTTAAATATTCATATGTTGTTGTTTAAATCTTATAAACAGTGTTAGCCTAGTCCATTTTAATTTAAAAAAATACTTTAATAAAATTGACACAAATAATCAATACATATAATACACAATATTGGTAGTAAAAATTTCAACAAAACCTATAATAAATAGTTACTTTTTTATGATGTATAATAAATGAAAATTTTTAAAGTGTATTTTTTGTTTCAACTTTCTTATCAACCTTTTTTTTTCAAAACGAGATATAAAATGTCCGTTATATTTTATTGTTTGGATATGATTGATTATTAATTTGTTTTGTTGTATATTTGATTGTCATTCTAATATATTATAACTTACGATTTTTTGTAATAACAATAAACATAAAAAATGATAAAATGTCTATTTTATTTAATTTTTGATATAAACTTCAATTAAATCAAATCAACACAACATGTATTATATGATAAAGTTATTATATATTATTAATATAACAACAATTATTGTTACAGTAAAACGTCATAAGAGTAGGCGGGTGTGGTAATTATGTTCTCTCAAGAACGGGCATTTTTAGCCAATCAAACCTTAATTACCACTCGATAGAGAACTCTATTTATAGTTTCAGTCTAAAAATGCTCGCTCTTGAGAGAACTCGCTCTTCAGAGGTACCGCTCTTGGGTGGTTTTACTGTATTTGTTATTAAAAACCATTACACATTTACTATAAAATAATGTTAAATATTTTATTTGCTCTTTTTAACGATATATTTGATAAATTACAATACAAACCGAAAGCATACATTTTTTAAAATAATAAACTTTAAAACTATTTCAAACTAAGTAAGGTATACATAAAATGGTATTATCTATCGTTTATGACGATTTTAATGTCGATATTTAAGACATAATAACATATAGCTAATAGCCAAACAAACAATACAAACAATCGAGAGACTCTATTGTACGAGAATTGATATCATAATACTGATTTGGAAAAAAATTTTAATTAGTTTTAAAATGTTATAATCGATGTTAATGTTTATCATGAAGACGCCAGTGCTGTTTTGAATTATATTAAAGATTTTTTTCAATACAAATAATGAACATAAGCAAAATGTCCAAAAATAGACATAAAATAGTATATAAGCATTAATTCACTAATTCCACATTTTGTTATTTAAATAGTAATAGAAAAACAAAATGGTAATTTGGAAATTCATTTTGTCGGCACTA